TATTTCTGAACAACTTTATTGTCACGTGTCTTGATGTAGAACAACAAACACTTGTTCTAAAATTCTTCTATAGCTTTACCGATGATATCTTTATCCTCATTAGGTAGGTCTTCATAAGGCACCATAAGAATGTCACTGTTGTTGTGAGTTGTCATGACGATTGTGGGGTCCTACCGGGCATGCCAGAACACGTGTCGGCACAAAAAATTGTCAACACGCAGTAAGCCAGAAGGATCTGCTTAATGGAGCAAGGCTAGAGATCCACTTGGCTTTAAGGCAGGACCAGTCGCCCCTGTGAATTTCCCGAGGGCATGCCAATCAATTTGACCTACAATTGACAAGGAGAGAAAGTTTATCAGAAATTTAAGGTGGAACATGTCGGTTTTGCCCAGACAGTTCCAAGTGTGCCTTCGGGAGCAGCCAGACGGGAAAATCGACTAAATAGCTGATATGAGAAGAAATCGACTGTTAAGGGTTGTAACACTCGCGGGTCATGATTGATTTTATAGTAACAAATGCAACGTGCCTAGATATAAGTAACATCATCAGCTAGATAAATTTAACCGGTGTAAAGCATTGAGCCCATAAGTTTAACGAGAAAGTATATAACATGCGAACAAAATCGATTGTCTAGTGCAAATAGATCTACAAACGCTCTGAATCTAATCTGCTACCATCAATAGGGAGGTTCAATCAGATCGATGCAGCTATGATGATAACAACAAACTAAAGCCAAAGAATCCATAAAACTATCTATACGTTGATAGGTTTCTGAAAGACATGCTATATGTGTGAAAGCACAGGTGAATCGGCTGAAATAGCCGATTCAGATAGAAAAAGGATCATAGCATGAGAACAATCGACTATTTAATACGAACAGATTTATAAACTCATCGAATCTAATCTATTATCTTAACAATGGGGTTCGACCGGATCGATGGCAGCCATAATAAAGATAGTAGATTAAACATTTTAAAGTAAACAGATCTATTCACATTTAACAGAATCATGAAGACACACTATAAGCATTAAAGTACAGGCGATCGGCTATTTAGCTGATACAGGCATAGCAAACAGCTAGGGTCATGCCTAGTCGAAAGCAAATCTATCAACCAGCATACTCTGATCTAAAGTACTAACAGTGAGGATCGATCGGATCATTACATCCATAATAGCGAGCTATAGACCAGATTCAACTAGCCGGTATACCTTCTCAAGATCAGGCATGCCTTAACCGCGTACTACGCACGATCAAGATCGAAGTAGAACATCTGATAAAACATAATACGTCGTTTAAAGTAAGAATCATCGTAATGTGACAGAATAAACGATGGACTAAAAGGGTGTGAGGCCGATCTAGATCGATCTCGATCGGGCAGGTTAATATTGCTGAAACTAATGACAATAAGAATATTAGCAAGATCGGTAACTTAATGAATCTACCCGAAGGATGCCACCCTTAAGTAGAGCCGATAACTTGACCTTAGTCTAATTTGAGCAGTGGAGGTCGAACTTAACCAATGCAACCTTACTTGAACTAGATAAGGATCGATAACTAGCTTATACTAGAGCTCGTAAGAGGTCGACCGGACCGATGCAGCCTTACAAACAGAAGTATAAGCCATGACGGTACTTACAGACAAACCGAAGGTCGACCGAACCGATACAACCCTGCTTGTTGAAGAACTCGTTGAGATTTACACTACTCCTACTCCTAAGGGTTGGCGTAAAGCCAAAAAAGTAATTGGTATTGATTAATTGGATGATCTTTTACAATAGCCGGGGTCCAATATTTATACCCGGAACCTAAACATAAATCATATTCAAGCACGACTCATTACGATCTTTGGAATAAAAGAAAATATTCCTAACTTAAGATAACTTGGACCCTAATCTTTTCTTTTTTGTAGAGTCCGACATATTTTTGCCGACGCCAACTGTAGCTCGTTGACGTTATCTGCTGATGTCATCCGAAGAGAGCCGATTCTAGTTCCGCATCTGAATCAGCTGATACCGATCCTTATCCTTATGCAATCAATTTCTTGATGACACAATCTTGAAAGTTTTGAGTTCCCGCGTTCTTCTTCCTAAATTTTAGTGTAAATAAAACCTTATTTAGGTGTCACACACATGTTCTATAATACTTTTGCTTAATAAAAATTGGTTTTCAACCCTACTTGATATATATGAGCTATTGAATCAACTTTCATTTAACATTTTTATTAATCATTTTAGGTTACAAGAAATTGATCTACATACTTTATCACATGCTTTATCACATAAACATAATGCTCATGACATGGTTTAGTGGTTTATTTAGAGTGTAACACCGATGGTGTTACATGCTAAAGTTACAAAGTTTTAGTAGATTCTTGTCAGTTTTTTCACCTAGAATTCCAGAAGGTGCTTAGCTTTTTTGCCTTTGAATTGCTTGTTTAGGTGCAAGAGTGAAAAGAGGAGGTTCTACTAGGACGATTTGAAGATCACCATATGTTTGGAGTTGTTGGTGAAGACAGGTCCACCCATGCTTTTATTGTGGAATGTCTAAAGCTGTTGCACTAAAACTTAGCGTGTCTTTAAGAGCCGTGCAGTGTGTGCCGCATAATAGACAAAATTATAGTTGGAATACATGGTGTGGAAAACAAACCAGTAAACAATTGCAGTCACAGAATAGAAATAATATATTGGTCAATACAGCATACTTATCCGGAGTAAATATACAGTGAAAAGTGGATGGAGGAAGTACCCTTGCTCCAGAAAGAGAAGGATCATCCCAAGGCCACTGCAGACAATCGGAGCAGATAATCAGAGGACTCAGGTTATTCAATCTAAACGAATCTGCTCAAGGGCTCTAATAGGGCCATTACTAAGCCTGGATTTTACTCTTTAAAGTGTGGGTCTCCACTGTATTTAATTTACGGAAGTGCTAGCTAGCGTCCGGACGTCCGAACCGACACTCGTGTCCGAACGTCCACACGCTGCACTCTGTTTCGCGCTCCACGCGGGGCCTGCGCCGCCCGAGCGACAATAGGGGAAGGGTGTGCGGCATCTCCGATTCAAAAGGACCCGGCCACGGCGTTGTATGGATGCCCTGCTGACGTCGGGAGAGACGATGCAGCAAAAGGTGGGGAGAGAGATGCAACACCACCCGATCTACTTTTGAAACATCCAAATACAACAATTGCAACATATGTCTGAAGGTAGTTGAAACATGCTTATGAAACATTAAAAAACACACCTAAAAACACTTAAAACCCATTACAACAATACACAACATCCAAATAAAACACATGCAACGTATGTGTGAACATATGCAACATCCAGATAAACACACTTGCATATGTGTCCGAAAACACATATGAAATATACCTCTGAAACATCTGAAACACTCGAAACATACGCTTGCAACATGCCTCTGAAAAAATTACAACATATGCAACATGTGCAACATCCCTCAATCTACTTTTACAACATCCATATGAAATAAATGCAACATTCATCTGAAACGCTTGAAACACTTGAAACATACATATGCAACATAGGGAGGGGAAGACTGGCCGGTCGATTCCGATGGTGGGGTGGGGATGAGCTCGGTCGCCAGGGTGACAGAGGGTGTCGCCGGGGGTGGAGGAGGCGCCGCGCCGGGGTGGGGCAGAGCCGCCCACTCCCTGCAACACTGTTGTGCCACCTCCATGGATCTCGTTCATGCTCTATGGATCTCATCGGGGTGGGAGAGAGGGCCACCGGATCCGCGGACGTTGGACGCTCCCGGTGGGTGATGACGTCGGGGTGGAGGGAGGGGTGCCACCGGAGTGGGGGAGGAGGCCGTCGGGGTGGAGGGGCGCCGCTGCTGGTCAGGGAGGCAGCCATAGCTGCGCTTCGTAGTAGATACGGGGCACGAGCGCGGGAGGAAGGAGGAAACGAGGGACTAGGGGCTTGTTTGGTTCGTGGCCTGAACCAAACTTGCCTGAGTCAACAATTGCTGGATCTTTGCTGTCTTTGCATTTGGATGGGCCCTAGATAGTGATCGGCCAGTAAGGGTGGCTTGAGCCAGGCGATCAAAAGAGTGCTCGTGCAAATGACGGTGTTTCGCGTCGGTAGTTTTTCTTCTTTATTTCTCTGCTGTAGCTCTTTGATGACCGAGATGACACCATTAATTAATATTTAAATAGGTACTACTGTTCCTATTTTCTATTGGTCATTCGGTAATAGTTGTGGCCGAAATACCTTGAATATATTTTATTCTATATTTATTTCTTTATTATAAATAGTAACATTATTTGTATTTTATAATATTAATTTATTAAAAATTATTTATATTATTTTTTGTATTATAATAATATGTATTGCTCTAACGATATTAAAGTTAAAGTTATATACGCAAGAAAACATATTTTCTCTCTCTATTTAACTTCTACGACACATGCTTCCAACCAAATACATCGTCTCCCTACCTACCTGGCCAGACATATTTTATTAAAATTTCAGATAACACTTCTTACCAGACAAATCATCTAGGTCTCAAACTAAACAAATGTCCCATTCGCTTGACTTATAATCCATACTTTTAGTCCATGTTTAGTTTTAACCCAAAATCCTAAAAAGTGTTACAGTAGCCATCACATCGAATATTTGCGGCTCATGCATGGAGTATTAAATGTAGACGAAAAAAAACTAATTACACAGTTTGGTGGAAAATTGCGAGACGAACGTTTTGAGCCTAATTAGTCCATGTTTGAACACTAATTGTCAAATAAAAACGAAAGTGCTACAGTAACACAAAATTCCAACTTACCGAAACTAAACACAGCGTTACCACCCACCAATAAATAATATTTTTTGCCATGGTTTATCGCCCACGAACGGGGCGAAACACGCCCTAGCTGCGGGAGCGAGCCGGACGTCTTCACTGGAGCATTGTGAAGGCCCTCACCCAAAAGCACCACGCTCTCCATCTCTCCCGCCCCGTGAGTCTAAACCCTCGCCAATCGGCAATCGCCATGGCCGGCAGCCACCTGCGCTCGCTCCGCTTCCTCGCCTTCTCCTCCGCCAGGTCCCGCTCCCTCCTCCACCTCCTACTCCCCCGCCCCCCCTCCTCTTCCCAATCTTCTCACGCCTACCACCATTCCCCCTACCCTGCCGCCGCCCCCAATCATGTCCATCAGGCCCAGCAGCAGCATTGGGCGCCCCCACGGAACCCTTGTCCCGATGGCCCCCCTCCACAATGGTCCTCGCAGGGACATCCTTCTCCCCCGCCGCCGAGAAACTACCAGCAGCAGGAGCCGCGGCAAACCTACAGGTCTCCACCCACGCAGCAGCCGGTGCCACCGCCACGCCACGGCTACGAGCCCCCGCCCCCGCAGCAGCACGCGACCCCGCCGCCGCCGGCTGAACCTGTCGCAGGGCCTGGTGAGCTGATAGGACTGTGCCGGGAGGGACGGGTCAAGGACGCAGTGGAGCTTCTCGCCAAGGGGGCGCGTGCCGACACGCCCGCCTTCTACGAGCTCGCCGCCGCCTGCTCCAACCCGAAGTTGATCGAGGAGCTCAAGAAGGTGCACGACTTCTTCCTCCGTTCGCCCTTCCGCGGGGATCTCCGGGTCAACAACAAGCTGCTCGAGATGTACGCGAAGTGTGCTGCCATGCCCCACGCCCGCAGGACGTTTGACAATATGCCTGACCGGGACATGGACTCGTGGTACATCATGATTGATGGGTACTCGATCAACGGTCTTGGGGACGAGGCACTGCAGCTGTTCGAGCTGATGAAGGAATGCTTGGCGCTGACCAGCCATACCTATGTGCTTGTGCTCAATGCTTGTGCCAACTCGGAGGCTATTGAGGAAGCGTTCCTTTACTTTGATGCCATGTCCAGAGACCATGGCATCCAGCCTGGTGTGGAGCACTATGTTGGGATCATTGAGGTGTTGGGGAAGTCGGGGCATCTCAACGAGGCCCTGGAGTACATTGAGAAGCTGCCTTTTGAGCCCAATGCCATGGTATGGGAATCAGTTTTGAACCTGGCACGGATGAATGGTGACATTGATCTTGAGGACCGGGCAGAGGAGCTATTGGTGTCACTTGATCCATCCAAGGCAAATCCTAAGAAGCTCTCAACCCCACCTCCAAAGAGGCGTCTGGGGATTAACATGCTTGATGGGAGGAACAGGCTGGTGGAGTACCGATTGCCACCCAAGATTGAAAGGAAGGTGGTGAATGAGCAGAGATATGTCCCAGACACAAGGTATGTGCTCCATGACATTGATCAGGAGGCAAAGGAGCAGGCATTGCTGTACCATAGTGAGAGGCTGGCAATTGCATATGGTCTGATTAGCACCCCAGCAAGGACTCCGCTTCGCATCATTAAGAACCTCAGGATCTGCGGTGACTGCCACAATGCCATCAAAATTATGTCGAGGATCGTAGGGAGAGAGCTCATTGTGAGGGACAATAAGAGGTTCCACCATTTCAAAGATGGGAAGTGCTCTTGTGGGGATTATTGGTGAACATGGATCCTACAATCCCAATGTGGTGGATACTGAAGTTTACTGCTATTCCATATAAATATATTATATATGTTCACATCATGTCCTTGTTCCTTGCTATAATAAGTGTGGCTGCAACATTACACCTTGTGATTTGCATGTGAACCTGGTGGTCATTGCCACCCACATAGTACTTACGAATTGAGATTAATAGAGTTGGACAAAAAAAGTGTGATAGACAATTAATTGTGACTGATGGTCAACACCGCGTTCTGCTTATAATTCTTTAAAGTTGCTGTGTTGGTGCCAAGCAATAACTATGATGCTATGCAGATAAACTCAAGGTTGGCTTTGTGAGTTCACTTGCCTGTCCTTGGTGCTGATTATATTTGCCCATTATTGTGGTTATGATCTTCGTGATGTACTTTGTTTGTGTTTCTTCTTCTCAGTTGATCAAACCTTGCTATGTTATTACTACACCGTAGAGAGCGATATAATTATATGTCATGCATAGTGTAATGGTGCGCCATATGTTTGTTTACATTGCATAGTACAACTGAATGAAAGTCCACTCGTGGAGACAGTCAAACCTATGGTAAATGGTGGAACTGAAGGCTCTAACTTAAGGGTCATACATAGTCCTAACACCTCGGACAGCATTTGCTTTGAGTGCAACATATGTCTTTTTCCTACCCAGGTCAAGTTTCCCTTATGTACCGAGACTCCAGGAATTGCAGCTCACGTCATTGGGTATGCTCATTTGATCAAACAGGATGAGGTATTGTTCTTGTCTGTATAGTTTCTTTTCAGTCTTCATCCCATACTCAAACATTTAAATTCACTGTTGTAGGTTCATCCTTGCGAACATGTTGATGCTGATGATGCAGAACATATGCAGTGAATTTATTAGAGGTGTGCTTTAAGGCAATGTCATTGTACTATATATTTTATCAGAAGCACACTTCTTGAGTCATTTGCTCATTTAACATATGTTGCCAATCTTGTATAGGCTTAATAGAGAGCAGAGCTTTTGGCATTTATGGTGTTACATATTCTTTGACTAAGGCTTGTTCTCTGTTTATTGACTGAGCCGCACCTGTGATTTAGTACTTGTATATCTCAAAAAATCTTTTCATCTCTTCTATTGACAGAATGTGCTTCTTCGAGTTAGCAATGATGCACAACTTCACATCAAACCAATTTTTTCCCCTGGAGTCATAATTTATGAAATCAAATTTCTATTGCATGTAAAGATGTTAAACAATCCGACCTTGTTCTGTTAAATTTTTATGTCCAAAGACTTTAAAGACTTCTATTTGTTCACCATCCACATGAAATTTTCTTGCAGCTGCTCCTGTACCTGACAATCTAATCTACCCTGGCCTTCGCTAATGTTTTTCTGACTGCATGTTACATTAGTTCCCTTTCTGATATGACCCCTTATATGGGTCGGGGTATCAGGTGCAGTCAGCCATCTGGGCACAAACAGCACCGAAAACTAATAGCTGCTTGCCTGCTTGCACCTGCACCATTGCTTATAGGAGAAGATATATAAGTTAGGAACCATATATAGGTTTTCGTTTAATAATTATCTTGTAATTGGGTACTCGCTGCCAAAAATCTCAATATAAGTTTTTGCGCTAGTGCAATTGTGCTTGCATTTATGTGGCCCGATGTGGTTGTCAATATAAGTTGTAGGTAACTTGGTTGTCCAGATGTGGCTCACCTCTTCGATAGTTCGATTCCAATTTGCAAGCCGTAACGTGTTGGGTTGTGTTTACGCCTTTTGCTGGCTCTGGTCCTTAAACAAGAGATTTCCCAGTTGTGAATGTAGGTGGTCGTTTTTGCTTGCCATAAATTTCATGTCATTCTTGGAATAGGGTGTCTGCCCTCCCGCTGGTGGACCGCGGCTCCAGCCCAAATGACCGTCTCTTATCCACTCGTCCCCGCAGTTTCTAAAAGAAAAACACCGCAGCGGAGCTCGCCCGTGCTCATCCTGCGCTCATCGTGGCCGGCCGCGCTCATCTCGGCCAGGGTGGAGGCTGCCCATCTCGCCGCAGTCGGGGTGGAGCTTGCCCGCGTGTAGCTCACGGTAGCCTGGACAGAGTCCGTCCGCGCACATCTTGCGCTCCGCCTGCCCAGCTCGTCGTGGCTAGGGCTGAACTTGCCAGCACGCAGCTCGTAACGGCAAGGATGGAACTCGCCCACGCACAGCTCGGAACGGACCTCACACTGCGCACAGCTCGTGCTCCACCCGTCGCGGCCTTCTTCACTGAACCTGCCGCGGCCTTCTAAACCAGAGCGGCGAGCTCCGCGCCACCGGCGAGCTCTACACTGGTGAACTCCACACGCCGGTAAGCTTCCATTCTCCCAAGCAGTAAGGAGGTATTGTGTTAAACCTCATGTTGCAAGCGTATATTTTAAGTGTTTCAGATGTATGTTGTAAGTATTTCATATGGATGTTGCAAAAGTAAATTGGGATGTTGCACATGTTGTAATGGTTGTATACGTATGTTGCAAGCATTTGTTCCATATGTTTCATCTATTTTTTAGACTACGTTGCAAGTGTGTTTATTTGGATGTTGCATATGTTTCACACATATGTTGTAAGTGTTTTATTTGGATGTTGCATATGTTTTGCAATGGCTTTTTCAAGTGTTTTTATGCGTTTTTTTTAAGTGTTTAAGACGCATGTTTTAAATGTTTCATCTGTCTTCAGACGCATGTTGTAAATGTTTTATCTCGATGTTTTAAAAGTAGATCGAGTGCTCGCTGCTGGGGACCCACCACCCGCCTACTGTAGCTGCTGGGGCACCGCCGAGCGGGCGCAGACATCCGAGCATAGGAAGCGGAGGGGATGAGAGCGGTCCCCTCGTGGGGTCGGACGGCATGGGCGACATTCGGGCGGCGCGAGCCCCGCGCGTGCGTCCGTCTAGGCGCTAGCACGCCTCAATTTCATATGAATTAAAATGGTGGGTGGGTTGGGGGGGTGTGTGTGTGTGTCCATGTTTCACAAACGGGTAAAGTTTTTTTGCATGGCTGCTGTTTCTGGAAAGAATCCAGTGCAGAACAACACTAGAAGTAAAACATCGTTGACAGCACCATCTGTTAAGTTTGCCAAGCGCCAGAAGAGACGGCTGCTCACATCCTGTTTGGATGCCCAAGCGCCCAACAGTTCTGGAATGCGCTACAGATCCCCACACGAGCAGATTGGCCGGTGCAAGCAATCAAGGAGATTTCGCCGCATGACCACATACCAGGGAAGCACTTCAACACCTTCCTTCTTCTATGCTGTTGCCACATTTGGAAAAGAAGGAACGGCAAAGTCTTCATATCAGACAGGACATCACTGACTGCAACATTGGCAGCCTGCAAACTGATGCCTATCTTTGGGGCGCCCGGTTACCACGAGAAGATAGAATGATTGCCACAAATTGGTGCTCGATTTTAGCTAACGCAATGTAAAGCTACACAGCGACTATTCCAAAACAAACCCTTTCTAACTTTCATGGCTGCTTAAGAGCCAATTATCAATATCGTCGAGTTATCAAATAAAAAGTTCCACCGATCAGCCAGTGTTAAGAGAAAACAGAGTCTAGTAGGTTGTTGTCGTCTATTTTGTTTTATTAATTTTTTGTTTGTGAACTACCCCCAAGTGAAATTTGAAAACATTATTAGGCTGTGAAAATAGTTTTTTTTTACTGAGAAAAGGACGATAAAACCGATTTCCACGCAAATATTGTCTTTTGGAAGGAACAAATCCAGCCTGTTATGTTTTACAGAAAAAAAAATGAATGTACAAGATTTGAAGAATTCAGACACTGATTCCATAAATTCAGACGGTGCTATTTCGGCCTCTCAAATTCGAAGATTACCTTCCGAAACCCCCTTCGAAATCCATGGGCCGGGGCATAGCTAGCATAACGCTTTCCACGTTTGGCACAACCTGGCCGGCGACGGCGACAGTGTGACATGCAGCGAGCAGCCGCTAACCGCCGGCGCGCCCCCCATCGTTCCCCACGTTCTCGCTCTCGCCCACGAACGCACGTCCGCATCGAATCAGACCGGAGCGCGCGCCCCGGCGACCGGCGTGTGGTCAAACTACAACCGGCGACGCGACGCGACGCGACCTGGCAACCGTTCCCCTGCCAAGACCCAAGAGCCACTCCCCTATAAAGCGAGCGAACGCGCAGCGTATGCAGTTCCACTCCACCCGCGCGCACCAAGCGATTCTGAGCACGGCGACCGGCGACCAGCAGTGCCAAGCCAGAGGCTAGCTCCGTCGTTCTCGTTCCTGCTCCTCGCTCGTACCGCCGTGCGTCGCCGCCTGCTGCAAGATCCATGGCCGCTGCCAACAGCTCCCGCGCGCTTCTCCCCGTGCTGGCCCTCGCCGGCGTCGTCTTCTTCCTTCTCGCTCCTGGCGCCGCGGCCGCCGATGCAACCGCGCCGCAGGGCCTGGAGTTCCACGTCGGCGGCCCGCGTGGGTGGCGCGTCCCGGACGCCAACACCAGCTATGGCTGGTGGGCCATGAACAACCGCTTCCGCGTCGGCGACCACCTCTGTGAGTATCCCAACTGTTCCTTCCCTGCTCCCATCAATGCAATCCTCCGGTTATTGACCGCCGTCGACGGCATCAATGAATCCTCTCGCAGACTTCAAGTACGCGAATGACTCGGTGCTCCTGGTGGACCGCACCGCCTTCGACGCCTGCAACACCACGGAGCCGCTCGCGACCTTCGCCGACGGCGCCACCAGGTTCGTCCTCGACCGCCCGGGCTTCTTCTGCTTCATCAGCGGCGAGCCGGGCCACTGCGAGGAGGGACAGAGGCTCATCGTGCGCGTCATGGTGCACCCGGCCATCGTCGCGACGCCAGGCCCGGCCTCCGCGCCAGTGACGTCGGCGCAGCCGGGCCACGGCGGCGGCGGCCAGGGGCATCCGCCCAGGGCTTCCTCCGGCGCAGACACAGCGGTTGCAGCTGCTGCCGGCGTCGCCGTCGCGGCGGCACTGGCTGCCTTCGTGAGTCTCGTCTTGATGCTCCACTGATCAGCAGTTTGGAGCGTGTGCATGCGTACCCGCGTACGTAGTTAACTTAATACTACGCATGTTAGTTCTGCTTTGGGTTCCTGTGGCTTTTACATATTCATCACTCGTGAAGTATTTGGTTCTGTATTGTGTTGTGTCAGGACAATTAGCTAGTTTTACTGAGCACTTATAATCATATTATGTGCTATTTAATTCCTTTGTAATGCGATTCATTATGTTATGCTTGAATTACTTTGCGAGATGTCCCTGGTTAATTTATTCGGTGAAAAAAATGTCAATGTTTTGGAGTGATTTCTTGGGGGTGTAGATTCATTCATCGTCTATCGGACGAACCAGTGTGCTACAACAGCCAGCAAAAACGAAGCCGTGATTTCCTAAAAGTTTACACTATCCCTGTACATATTCAACATGATTATACGCCTAAAAGAACTTCTATATTCTGGTACTTCTGAAACATAAGTTTAACTGTTTGAAATTGCAGATACAGATCTGTAGTATATGTTGTATCAAATCAATTCGAAAATATAAAAGTAAAAAAAGGACGTATCCAGTGCAGAGAGCTCCGCTTTGTGCGGGGTCTAGGGAAGGGTGCCAGTGGCAGGGCCTGTTCGCTTGAACTTATCAGCCGGTTTATCAGCTAGAATCTACAGTATTTTTCTCTAAAAAAAACAGCTTCAGTCAGCTTATCAGCCGGCTTTAATACCAGCCAAACAGGCCCAAGCCTATGCAATGCAAGGCGACCGCGACTCGAACCCGGGACCTTCCGGTTACAGGCGGTAAGACTCTAACGCTTGCACCAGGCCCGCCCTTCTTCGAAAATATAAAAGTAACCCTTGCAAATTTCAGATAAAGCATTCCACCACCTGAACAATGTCATGTTCTGTAAAATCAGGAATTCGATTCATCCCGCAAGGATTACCATGTGGCTGTACAACATATCCACAGTTGAAAATGCTATATACAATCTGTAGTTCTTTGCTTCAGTTGCAACGATGGTCAGCTACCTAAACTACCACGGCTCAGAGTTCTTGGTCCAGTAACTTGCCACAGGTCTACATCTGCTGCTCCAGCCATCCTCTGCTAAAATAAGCGTTAACCGCGCTTTGAGAGTATTCACAGCTTCCTCCTCCAAGACCTCCAATCGATTCATTGGGGATTGCCCAGCCTGCAAAGAAACAATGCAGAGTGATGTTCGTGAGTTTTACATTTTCTGGGTCACTCCCATGATAGGGTCATGTCTGAAAGAATTACCTTGGCAGTTTGGTATAATGATAAGTAGTGTAGGCAGTCTTCATAGTACCCACAGTGGTACAGAAGGGCTGCGTAATCCCTCAGTTCATGTGGATCGTGATGCAGTAGTATCAGTCGCTCACAAGCTGAAACAAGAAAAATGCAAGATATGAAACAGGTATCGCACTGAGAGAAATACAATGCAAAATGGCATAGGAATGACCCATGAGGCCATGATACATTCAAACTGTGCAGAAAGAAATAAAGTACCTGCTAAAGCACGACGCATATCACCAAAACGAACATTAGTCCATACTCCACGCATCAATCTATGGTGAGCAGCTTTAGCAGCAGCCATCTCAATGGCACTGTTAACCAAAATTGACATCATTCCAGATCTCCAGCAGCATCCAGTGTAAAAAAAGAGAGGAACTACGCTTGATAAATTCAGAGAAAGTACCTTATGTTTCCATGTGACCTTGCTTGGTTATCACCTAAAGTACCAGGGCCATAGTGGTTTACAGCAACAGCATTCAGAAATAAGCTACTAGACTGATCAGACTGGAAAGGCCAAAATGTACTCTTCAAAGTTCTCAAAGTCTGCATATAAGGACTAATAAAAATAAGCCCAAATGTTATTGCATACAAAAACTAGCAACTTTCGCAGCCTGCTTATATCATCTTTGACACAATAAAACCAAACATTATGAACAGGATTAAGAACAGACACCAACTTTAATAAAAATATGTTCTGAAGCTGTTCAAAAAATTTGCAACAAATTGGATTCCTAACTCAAGTTAATCAGATGCAGGCTCAATCCATTAGGTTGAAGTTTAAAGTTGGCTTAAAATGTCTCAAACACAGGAGGGGAAAACAGAAGATTTGTTAGAAACAAGTTTATTCACATTATTATATACTGAATATAATGGTTGAAGCGAACCACAAGCTCACCACTCAAAGGTGTGTCTGTGTCTGTGTCTTTGGTTGTTGTTTAATCTCTAAGAAAAATCTTGTGCAGGCAAGAATGGAACAAAACCAAATTTCAACTTAGTCCTATCTATCAGTACTGATAAAATGAATCCTCACAGCTGTAAAAAAAAGGGCGTACCCAGTGCAGAGAGCTCCCGCTCTGTGCGGGGTCTGGGGAAGGGTGTTAGTGGCAAGCCTTACCCTCGCCTGTGCAATGCGAGGAGACCGCGACTCGAACCCGGGACCTTCCGGTCACAGGCGGTAATACTCTACCGCTTGCACCAGGCCCGCCCTTCTTCCTCACAGCTGTAGGAACACCCAAAAAAAACAATATTGGTGGAATTTGTAGATAGGAGATAATATATTGAATTATTTGATTTGGTTGAAGTCTCATTTGAAAACATGAAATATATATGCAAACAATCTTTTTTCTGGTGAATGCGAAGGGCATAGCAAAATTAAGATGAAAAATCCCTTTTGTATGACAACCACCCAGAAATTTCACTGTGGTATCTTGGGTGCATCTGGAGACTGCAACGACCACCATAGCTTTAACACTCGTTGCTCAAGACTAGCATAGTACTAGATATTAAGCACACAAAAAGAAACTCAATGGACTACGATAGTGAAGATTGAAGGTTGGAATAAACTCACCTCAACCAAAAGTGACTTTGAAGTCATAACATGTGGCTCATCGCCCAATTTGCCTTTTTGTTTGTCATAACCCCTAGGGAGGCTATTGAGATCATTTGGAAAGAAAATCTCTGGATCAAAATCCAGTAACCCATATATTCGTACAGTCTTCAGTATCTCTGAATATATCAACGCAAGCATTAGAGCTGATCCAGAACGGCATGTCAAGACCTGGAAATTGTACAACCAAATAACACTAGATGAGGAGGCATAGCATATTTATTACAGTAGTGTATACAACTACAAGGCATAGAAGCTAGATTCTGGCATACCGAGTGAAGATACATAGTCCGCGCATCCGACACTCGATTTGTTCTTCGAAACCCCTGAATGGAAGATCCTAGTAAATTAGCACCAATACTTGTAAGCTTTGCATGTAGAACAGAAATTTGCTAGGCAGAGACCACACACTACATCATGCTACATCAACCAGACAGCTGAAATGACTTCAAAATCAAGCCGTTCGTACGTAGTGATACCCAAATTGGGCTAGCAACAGGATCAGAATAACTTGGCGCAACATGGCGACAGCTATACACAGTACCTTATGGATGTAGAGGTAGCGGTCAAGATAATCGAAGAAGACCTCGGGCGCCGCGCCGGAGGGCGGGAAGTTGCCGCCGGCGCAGAAGTCCGCGGAGAGGCCATCGAGGCACGCGAGGAAGGCGTCCACGGGGAGCGAGACCGAGGAGTGGGAGACGAGCGTGTCGTCCTCGGCGGCGACGCAGAGCGCGGCGCGGGCGAGGTCAGGGCCGCGGCTGACGGCGATGCTGCTCCCCGCGCTCACCCGGGTGAGCCGCCCCACCTGCGCCACGAACCCGTCCCGCGCCCCTGGCGTGCTCGGTGGCCGCCCCGACGGCGTCGAGGGAGTCGTGCAGCACCAGCCGCGGCGGGGCCTCCCCCTCCCCCGCGGCGCCGCCGCCCTCCTGCCCCACGGCCGCCGCGCGAGGCCTGAGCCTGACGGAGAAGCGCCGCCTGCGGCCACGGCAGGGACGGCGGCCGAGAGCGGAGGAGGGGGGGAGACCACACCGCCGCGCCCGCGCAGCTCATGGCGGCGGCGGTGAGTCAGATTCACCGGATCGGAGGCGGTGGCGTCGAACGCCGCGGCTAGCAGACGGCGAGGCGGCGAGCTGTGCTGCTGCGTCGTACGTGTATATATAAAAACAAAATATTGGGGTAGTATATGATACATAATATAATTGGTGGGCATCGAAGAAGCTTGTTCTTGCGCCGCTACTATTTTTCTACTAGCGTCGGCATCGACTGCTGCCTGCAATGGCAGTGGCAGCAGCGGTGCCCAAACTTGTTTGTCTCTCTGTTTGAAGCACCACTCCGACCATACGCTGTGGAGGGCCGCCTTATCTCCTCCTTGTCTCCTTCTCCTCCGCGGCACGGAGCCTCCATGGCCTCAGAGAAGAGAAGGCCACCGCTCGCGAGCAGGTCCACGTCTCTCGCCTCACTTGCACGGACATGGCCAGCGCTCGCCAGTAGATCCACTTCCGCGCGTCGCCGTCCCAGCGTCCGTCGTCGTCTCCACGCACGGAGAAGGCCAGCGCTCGCGAGCAGATCCACTTCCGCGCGTCGCTGTCCCAGCGTCATCGTCTCCTCGATCTCCCGGCTCCCTCCCTGCCGGTCTCGCCGCGGCTCGTAGCCCGCGGCCCACAGCGTCCCGCGCCCCTCCGCCCCACAGCGCCGCGCCGTGCCGCCGTTGCCGGTTCCGCCCGCGCGCAGGCCCACACCACAGCCCACAGGAGACGAAGCCGGGTGAAGCGACGAGTATCATTTCCAAAATATGCTCTCCCTCCCGCATGCAGCTCCAGTCAGCAGGAAATCCGCGACTTCGCCCACAGAGCGGATCAGATACAGATAGATAGGAGGCGTTTGGTTGGATTCGTGCAGAAACAGTTTCAGAAGCAGGGGATGAAGCTTGAAGCGGTATCAAACGGCTCCTAGATTTTTGTTTTCCCAAAAAAAAAGATTTTTGTTTTCCCTAACTATCTTTACGGACCCGTTCGGCCTGTGTTTTGTTTTGCCAGCTGCTGCTGCTGCATTTCGTACTGTTTATTAAACAGTAGCTTGTGTCATACTCACTGCCACGAAAGAATACAATTCTCGTTTTTTTAGATCAAGCTATTCTAACTTTAGCTAAATTTATATAAAAAATACTATTGCGATACAAAATAAATATAATTGGATTAGTTATAGAATATATTTTTATAATAAATTTATTTAAAAATATAAATGTTAATATTATTTGCTATAAACTTTGTTATACTTGGGCTAGATTAATCGGTATGATTTTCATAACTACATTCTTGTGTGGTCAGAGGGAGTCCAAAGAAGTAGCAGAGGCTGAGGCTATCAGTAATGGCTTACGAACAGAACCTACTGTGTATGCAGAGTGTGTATGCAGAGAGGGTTAAAGTTTGAGGCCGTGAGCCGACATGAAAGGAGGATACGCGCAGAAGAGATTTTGGGTGTGAATCTCACCGCTGGCCTCTCGCGTCGTGACTCACGTAGCGGTACCAAAGGAGGTCGCACTTTGTTAGTTCACCGTGGCAAATTTTTGTCTGGCTCCTTTGGGCCCGGCTCTGTGTTATAGACTTGCAGTAGGCGGGAGGAGCTAAAAATACTATTTTTAGTTTTTTATTTAGAAAAAATGGAGAAAAAATTTGATAAACAGTACCATATATAGTGCAAGAGATGGATGAGACGAAGCCGTTGAGAGCCTCTCCAAATAGCGTCAGAGATGGCAACGGATACCGCGACCTAAAATTTGATGGATTTTTATCCTATTAGGACATAAATAAGGGCTGATTTACTTACGGTATGTGATTAATGAACAAAAATCTTGTCGGTGTTTTGAGTTACCATCGACGAGTAAATTTCTAATATTGTGCGTCTAGCTCGGATGGTGTATTTAGAGGACACGAGGTTTATACTAGTTTGGCTAGAATGTCCCTACGTCCAGTTCGTTGCTGCTGCTCGTGTTACTGGCACTGAAAGTTTGCAGTAGGGGCGACAAACGGGCGAGGGAGGGAAAGGATCCTAAGTCTCTGGTGGAAAGAGTGAACGGACGCTGAGAGCTCGATCGCTGCTCAGCCGTGTGTTCATATCATGTTCTTGTGTGTTTATCTGGCTTGAATCGGATCGGGGTGATTCGATCGGATCGAGTCCCCTTCATTGGACACCCTACTTTTCCTTTTATAGATCAAAGGAAAGCACGGGTTACAGCGGGAGAAGAGAGAAGAATGAGAGAGAAGTCCTTCAGGATCGCCAGGTCCTTCTTCTCCTTCAGGCGGGTTCCGCCGACCCTATAGATGTTAACAGGGATGGCGCCACGTCGCGACCCTGTCCGTCACTGGTGCCATGCGCAGGCGTCGTCTACCGGTCATGGCGCTCCACTCTATCCTGGCGGACGTCGTAGTGAACTGACGTGCCTCTCAGTATTCGTATGAGGGTTAGGCAGAACAGCACCGGTACGCCCGACGCTATTCTTGATGTGAACCCTCAGGTATGCCCGTTGTGACTGCGGGTTACATCGAGGCGTGCTAGTCTCTTCCCTGGTGTCAGAGTTTTGACCCAGGCCCATACACATGGACCTAGAGTGGTTGGCGACGGTATGGGACTCCATCGGGCGAGACGGAGCCCGCACCAGAGGGGTCGGGCGAGGCGAAGCGCAAACCCAAGGGTCGAGCGAGGCGAAGCCCGTAACCTTGGGGTCGGGCGAGGCGGAGCCCGTGGCCTCGGGGTCGGGCGAGGCGGAGCCCGCCTCCAGAGGTCAGGTGAGGCGGAGCCCATGGCCTTGAGGTCGGGGGAGGCAGAGCCTGCCCCCAGAGGTCGAGCGAGGCAGAGCCCATGGTCTCGAGGTCGGGCGAGGCGGAGCCCACCCCCAGAGGTCAAGCGAGGCGGAGCCCGCAACCTTGGGGTCGGGCGCGGTGGAGCCCGCGGCCTCGGTGTCGGGCGAGGTGGAGCCCACGGTCTTGGGGTCGGGCAAGGCGGATCCCACAGCCCCAGGGTCGGGCGTGGCGGAGCCCTCTCCCAGAGGTCGGGTGAGGCGGAGTGCATGACCTTGGGGTCGGGCGAGGCGAAGCCCTCCCTTAGAGGTTGGGCGAATCAACGCTGATGACCATTAGCTCCTTCTCTTCGTGTACCCTAGTATTTGTCCCCGACAGTAGCCCCCGAGCCTGTGGAGGAGTAGAATACTCCTTCGGAGGTTTTTCTGAATGGGAGGACTCTGAGGGCCTTGGCCTTTTTTTGTTGCCCACGACGTGACCTAGGGACGATGATTCCCTTTCGTCGAGATCGGACCCTTCGGGGGTATAGTCGTGAGATTTGGTGGGTCAGAAAAGGTCTTTTCCTGATTTCGACCCCTACGGGAGTCTGTCGTTCTATGACCGTACATTCGGTCTCCGTGCAAGCCCAACTTTTCTCGAGCCCCCCGCCCATAGCAGGGGTTAGGTCGTGGATCGGCTTGTCTTTGTGATTGTCTTCCCTCAAATATTTTTCCAAAAAAATGGAGGGCCCAGGTCGTGCCATGATTTTCCTCTATGGACGAATCATGGTGCTCAGTGAGCTGTTAATGAGCTAGTCCGAGCGAGGCCCCGGCATCATGTTCATGGGGATCTAGCTTGGGTCAGCTGGTGACCGACTCTAGATTCTCAGCGGTCAATTCATATAGTTCTCGGTCCATTTGACCGGTCCCGAGGGCTCTGTGCCTTTCTTCGAAGCAAAACCATGGATCGTATCCGGCCGAGACTCAAACATGGGCCGGGATACCCGCGGCACTCGTGCGCCTAGATACTGGCCGCTAGCGGGCCCATCCCTTTCCACCCCTCACTCTAAATGTGCCCAGAAAGGTTGTCGAACCCATCGGTGGGCCAACCTTCGAAGTCCTAGGCCTAGACGGGCCGTAGTAGCGTTTTTAGCTCCGTATCCCTTTTACCTATGATGGGTCGTGGCCTATCCAGAGAGACCAAACGTCCGGTGAGTTTTTCGAGGGAACGGACATAGGTTGCGTGCGCACGTCCCTTGGTGAGACATGGTGGCAGATAATGGCAGGCGCGGAGATCTAGGCGGGCTGTTGGTTTCCTCGCAAGTGTCGCCCCTATAAAACCAAAGGGTTAGCCCCCCGGGTTCCATACGTTGCATCCTTGCCTCTGCAGCCACGCCCGCCGCCACCAATCGCTTAGGTTTCCTGCCTCCGCATCTCCATCATCATTGAACTCGCATCCATCCGCCCCATCTCCAATGGATCCATGGTGCCATTCCGACATCAACTTCCAGTGTATGGAGGGCCTCGTCTGTCGCGGCCTTCTCCGCGCACGAACCTCGGCGAGAGGAATGGCTGCTGCCCGGTGAGGAGGATTTGCCGTCACCGCCCGACGACTATGTGGTGTCGTTCGCCCACTTCCAGAAGCGTGGGTTCGCGACCCCTGCCCACAAATTTCTTCAGGGGCTGCTACACTACTACAAGATCTAGCTGCAGCATCTCAATCCCAATGGGATCCAGCACATGGAAGCGTTCGTCACCCTATGCGAGGGATTCCTAGGGATCAGCCCTCACTTTGACTTGTGGAGGTACTTTCTTCGCCGTCACCCTCCAGAAGAAGAGGGAGATGGGGTGCGCCGGCATCCAACTTTAGAACAATCAGGTTGGCGAATACCCGTCCATGCGGCTCTCAATGTCTAATAAGGGGTGGCACTCATAGTGGTTCTACCTCAAGAACGACGTTGCTGCCCCTCTATCGGAGTTCACCGGACGCCTGATCGAAGAGGCCCTAGAGCCGTGGAGGAAGTGGAGTGTCTTGGATAAGGACAAGAAGAAGATCCGAGACCACATCGCCGCCATCCACATCCTGAAGGAGAACGGCCTAAAGGGGTTAGGCATCATTGGGGCCTACCACGCAAGAAGGGTGGCGCCGTTGATGACGCGCACGCTCCCGTTGTATGCGATGGCACCCGAGGTGTCATTTGATGGAACGACGCTCGCTGAGGGGATGTTCCCCAACTCCGAGATCGCGCAATGCATCAAACAGGCGATGGAGCCTTTGCAGGATGATGCAGGTGTCGCCCTCGACATCGTTTACCCGGTGCTAGGGCATCCTCTGATGCAGCCGAGCCAGGCCACATCGTCTTCGTAAGTTTCCCTTTCTCTTGCCTTCTCTTCAATTGATTTCCCAACCCCTTGATCCTAACTTTGAGAGGGGCGGGACCAGCCATGGGACCTCATCCTCACGGATCACCCGACACTGTTGCCGGGGGGTTCGGCCATGAGGATGGCGAATCATGCCGAGGTTGAGCGGCTGAAGAAGGTGAAGGAGGACAAGATGAGGAAGAAGCAGCGGAAGCTGCAGGCGTGGGAACGAGGGGAGGACACTGATAGTGATGGTGGTGGTGGTGACGGCGAGGTAGCCAAGGACATTGAGTGGGACAACCTAGAGAAATAGGATGCATTGATAGGTATCGGTTTATCCTTGCCGATGTCGGGACCCTTTCTGTTCCATGGAAGGGAGGGTACGTCCGGAGAGCCAGCGGAGACGGGCCATACCGTCGGCTTGCCCTAGGAGCCAATAGAGGCGAGCAGCTCTGCCATCGCG